TGTGGATAAAATTGGTTCACTGGAAGGGTACTAAAGACGTGATTTTCTTCCAAGCTTTGACAGTGATTTACCTGATTCTACTCCCATCCTTTTATCTCTAACCTAGTCATTAAGCAACAGGTCTTAGGTCCTGATCCAAACCCCACTGAAATCAATGGAAAACTTTCCACTGACCTCAGTGGGTTTTGGAGCAGGCTTTTAATTTAAGAGCCCATGTCCCAGGCACTTTTGAAACCTCCACCCAATAGGCCTTCTTCCATGTGGTTAGCACAATGGGATCTCTGGTGAGGCTACCTGTACTACTGTACTGCAAGCAGTAATAATAAATAGCGTGCAAAATGAGTACTTGGCATCCAGGATTTACACAGGGCCCTGGGTTGTGTACAGAGGGAATAAAAAGACACTGTGAAGCAGGATGAAGATATACTATATGCATGCAAACAAGAGGGAAAACAGAGGGTATCTGCATCGTGGTAATACAGTAATTAAGAACTCTGCAGTCTCTTGCATGTGTTTCAATTACGTGGCTGTACACAAAACACACGCAAGCCCACTGCCCGAGCTGTTTCACTGAAAACACCTGCTCATTCTTGTACACCACCACAAGGATTCCATCTTGCAACCCTATTGCTACTCCCTGACTGCTTTGATTGGATGGTTAACCCTACTCACCTCAAAATAAAATTGTGTTTACACACTCTGTTTTGAACATACAGTGCTATAGCGCAGTGTTTTTATCCAAACTACTAAGCAGCTTTGTTTACTGCAGTAAGTCAAATCCCAATCTTAGGTCCTGAATCGGCAGTTCAGTGCAGCTCCACAAAACATTTAAGCATGTACTTAACTTTTTTTGTGTTCTAGTAACGTCATTGGGACTCAAGCATGGTGCTAAGTGCTTTTCCAATTGGGGATGGGTTTAAGCATGTGCTTAAGTGCTTTGCTGAACTGGGATTTCAGGTCCAACACAATCTTTTTTTTACTTGTTTACCTCAGAGCAATGAGGATCAGAGCATGGCCCAAGGCGTAGATACAGTTTGGCTGATGTTTCTGCTGTACTAAGATGGTTCTTATTTAGAATCAGTACTACTTACAGAACAGATGTGTTCATATCATCCTCTCAGGAGGCCACACAGAACATTTGCTTTTAACATCAGTCCTGAGGCTGCATTGTGCCCCCTGAACTTAAGCAAAATCAAGTAAGAGGCAGTCACCTCACTAAATTGAGCAGAATTCAGTGCAAAAGAGGCCATTTGCTTTTTTTTTTTTTGGTTTGAAAAGGAGCAACAATCCCAGTATTGATACCACATTTGTCTATTTCCCAGTCACAGATTCTAATGCAGTCACTGGTCACATGCACATTCATAACAAGTCCCCATGCACATTATGGGCCTGATCAATGCAGCGTGCTTGTCTACAGAAATAGGCCTTTGATAGAAAATTTAAATAAATATATAAACAAACTGAAACAGGCCACCGGATGCAAAGTCAATAAGTTTTAGGTTATGTCTTTCCCACCATCTATTCTTTTTTAATGATTCAGCTAACTAATTCCACCCTGCCAGTTGCTGCTATGTACAAGGATGAAACTCATTCTAATAGCCACACTACCAAGTTACAAAACATTTATTCCTATAGGTTGGCTTTTTTTCTGATTGCATCCTTTTGCAAACAAAAGAATAAATTGTCTATTAAAAATCAACATTAAAAATACAGGTAAAATATGATTGCACCTTTATTAGTGGCATTTTTTTCCAACTAGTTCCAACTAGTTCTCTTCCTTGGTTGGTTACAGATACCTGCTATAATAGTTTCCCTATTAACTTAAACTAATAGAAATCTTGTTCTTTTGTAAAGTTCTGGGTTTGCAGCCTCAGCTACACTGAACCCGTCTTGTAAGGGATAACTAGAACAATTAATATCTGAAAAAAATGAAATGACAGCTTCTAGTGAGTACAAGCTGACTTCTGCTTAGTAATATATTCAGTTTAAAATCACAGTATTACTTTCCTTCTAATAAGTAACATTATTTAATGCAGTTTTTGTTATCCTGCTGTAACTAATAGTAGCATGCTGTTGGATCTACTATTATTCCAGTGCCCAATGAAGCAAACCTTTTGGCTGGCAGAGAGCAGACAAAACTCATTTCATATATGGAAAGCAAATAAAACCTCATAGAAGAAAATAGTATCTCTTTTTGGGGGAGGTGGATGGGTGAGTATGCCATTCATTACAGGGCTTTTTGACTGGGGACTACTACAAGCAAACAGAGGGACTTTTGCAATTCTTGCAAATCATACATCCAGTTACCATAATGCAATGCACAAAAAAGCCAGGAAAACGGAAGGTTGGAAGGTTAGGCAAAATACTGTGGAACAGCAATCACTGTAACTGTACAAAACTTGCTCTCAACATAACATAACATAAAGGCACCATTGATATCTTTCTCATTTTGAAATACTGTAAAAAATTGCTACATATGGCACATAACACATTTGTACATACATATATTTAATTTATAAAAGTTTTTTTTTTTTTAATTCTCCTGTTTTCTATTAGCGGAATTGCTAAAATAAAATAAATTGTTTAATTTAAAGGTGGAATACTTCATTATATAAAATAAAGTTTTACATGTGAATCTATGTGTGTGTTTATGTTTTATACAGCGATAGGGTCTTGATTAGCTATTACACTGGACAACCTTGCTTGTAATTCTTCCTGTGTAGAGAACCGACTGGTTGGGTTAGTCCTGTTGTCAGCCAGTCGGTAGGCTGCGGCTGACTCGAGGCTGGTTGCCAGGGGGTTCTGTATGCTCAGGAAAGGTGTATCCTCGCCTATTCTTTCATCTTCTGTTTCACTCTCAGAGCTGGTGCTCTCAGAGCTTGTGTCAGTGTCCATTTCCATTCTGTTGGAAATGTGGCCGTTGGGTTTTGTTCTCTTTGTCCTCCGGCTGTTGACTAGTTTCTTTGGAGGCTCCTGTGCTGGCTCATACTCCTGTGTGGTCTCATATTCCTCATCCTCTACTATCCGCAGAGGACTAGGGGGTAGACTGTTGCTCTCATGGGCAGGATTGTGGTGGAAGGAGTTGAACTGCTGAATGTGATGGTCATACTTCTCCCGCAACCGTGGTGGAGTTACCAGCAAGAGAGGCCGCTCCTCTTCCATAAAGGGGCTCACCGCCACAGAAGGGACTGACACAGTTAAGCTGGATACTGGTGGAGACATTTCTGAAGGCGGGGACTTTGGACTGCTCGGAGTGTGGAAATCTACAGGTGACATGCGAGCTGGGGTGGTCATAGCTGATACATACCTGAATAAGGAGACACACAGAAAGGCCCCATCAAGGTGGAGAAGGGATTAAACATAAAAGAAATCATTAAGGAACGCTGACTTCAAGAACAACAAGTCATCTTACCATTACCTATTTCTCACATTTTTGTGATGTCAAATTGGATAGCTCCAGGGACAGAGGAATGCCTTTTCTGAATGATGCATGCAATTGTCTGCAGAAGTTTTGTCACCTTTACTTGGCTTAAGTGGTGTGTTACACAGCAGTTAGTTCCACGGACTGTACAAAACGGAGCCAGAGGGTTTAGTAATACAGGCCAATCCCTCACGTTACAACGTACTCAACCAGAAAGGCTCAGGATACTCCACACTTTTCAATGGAAGCGGCTGGCTACTGAGCTCTTGAGTATCTGGCCCACACTATAATTACCATCTCATAAACACTATGCTTGTCTTTGAATATTGAAAAATCTCTCCCTGTCATGGCAGCTTTACCTTAAGTGGAACATGATCCTTATGGGGTTTCATTCAGACTTTGTAAATTATTATTTTTTGTGTGGGGTTCTCTGCCTGTTTCACAGGGGATGTGGAGCTAAACCCCAGATGTAATGGCTTTGTGACAGCTTCTTAAATCCAAACTTGTGGTACTTCCTATCCTCATGTGGTAACAACAACAGACATAAAAGATGCTTTGGCTCAGTGTTAATGGCCCTGTAGAGAATTTGCTCTGAGTCCCTTGATATCTTTCTGGGGGAAGTTAGCACTTGAAGTGAGTTTTAGAAATAGAACTAAACCATCATCTAGGAGGCATCCCTAGATGACCAGTAACATGCCCCAGGTGGTGATGGCCCATGGTACAGGAGCAGCAGCCAGAAGAGGCTGCTGTAGGGTCGGCAGGAGGGAAATGTCACCTCCTTTATTTTGCCATTGACACGTGCCACATGTTCACTTAAACACTGATTTTTAGCAGCAAAAAAGGAAGTGATGTCTCCTTTCCTTCCAGCAGTGGACCTCTGGCCACTGGTCCTACGTCCTGGTCCTGTATCCTGCACTGCCACTGCTGTCAGAGCCACTGCAGGCAAGGTGCAGAATGTGCATGAGTGGGTGGGCCCTGGGGACAGGAGGATGAGGTACCCCCTTAGCTCCATTTTCCTGTCTCTCCCTTAAGCAGCATCATGGTTTATGCCCCACTCACCTACCTGTTGTTATGCTCAGTAAGAAATCTTGCATCATTTGCCCATTTTTCCTCTAATCTGAGTTTTGCTTTCCTCCATTTCAGTCATATTCAACTGTAACCTCAACCCAAGATGAATGTCTTCCGCAGACCTGCTCATGCAAGTTATACTGCTATAGCTGGTGAGAGCACTTTGCTTTTAATTAGTGGATATTTGGCTGAGTGAAATTAACAGAATCAAAATGAAGTCGAATTTGTTATCTAATCTCTGGCTATCCAACGTTTGCATATTTGCTTTGATTACGCACAGCAAGACAACTGGGAAAAAAAGAAACCGAGCTAGATTCTTGGCAACTGGTCTAGATTTGCTGATTTCAGTAGAGCTACATAGATTTAAAGGACTTAAGGAACTGGCCCATTGCTTCTAGGAAAAAAAGGAAAGCTATAGTCAGTCCTTCCTGTCAAGGAGTCAAGTTGGTTACTTGTGAGCAATTAATAGGCTCATTTTGTCAAATAAATAAAATAAAATCACTCCCACTTTTCAGAAACATTTATCCCACTCAGTGTTAAGATAGCTGGTGTCCAGGGAACTGAAATCTTTTTACCTCCACTAACATGCCTTAGATGGTTTACAGCTGATAACTGTAGGGCTTGTCTACATACAGGAGTTTTAACTAAATCAGTTTTAGACACACCAGTGTGAAGTTGTATGTTGACAGTCTTCTTTTAGCATAAAGCTAGTTATGTAGAGTTAGCTTGTACCTGTAAATTTACTGACACAACTGATATAAGCTAAGTTTAAACTGCATCCACATACAAAGTTGTGTTGGCTGAACTAAATCCATTGGAAGTTATACCTTTAGTTATGTTAGTAGAGCTTCAGATGTCAGGGAAGAGCTAATTTCTGCAAGCTTCTCTATATTGAGAAGCGGCAAGTATTTTCTACAGAATAGTTGACTGAATACCAAGCTAGCAGCAGCTCATGGTTTTTCAGGGACCTCCATGGAACTAGAGCTGTTGTAACAGCAGATGAGGACAAAGTCCCCCAACCTGCATTGCACTCTCAATGCAAAATGTAATTTGAGAGAAGCTGTTGGGTCCAGAATGTGAGGGAAACACATTCTTGATTTCCTAACTCACAGTACAGCCAAGTTTTAGTTGGTATGTAAGGAAGTAATTCTTTCTTTATGGAATGTTTTATATTTTTATATTTCAAACTTAGCATTGGTTTAAAATAACTCTCTTGCTCACTTGCGCGCACACACACACACACACCCACCCACCCCCCTTCAGGTACCAGAAATAATTTGCCATGTATTTTGTGCATGGTGAAGATAGCTGAAGACTAGTCTGCCACTCAGGGAAATGTCTCTCCTCTTCAGAGCTCATAGCCACTTCAGGGAAGAGATCAAGGTCTGGTGATTTATTAGAGAAATGCTGCCTGTATTTTTCCCTGAACATTTTCTTTCAGGAAATGTAATATTTGGAGAGATGTCCTCTTCCTCCCAGCTGGAATGAAAAGACATATACCTGAAAAAACAGTTAATGTGTCAAAATGCTGCTCAGATGACCCTGGATAGTCCAAAAGGGCCAGGCAAACAATCTCTTCTCCTTGCATCCAGAGGATCAAATATGCCGAAGTATGATACACTTCATCTGTGTGAACTTGGCAGTACAATCTATGTGGCTCCCAGATGCTTCAAAATGCTGTATTTACTGCTATAGGGCCCAATCCAGCAAAGCACTTAAGTACATGCTTAACTTTACCTACCTGAGTAATCCACTACACATGTGATTAGAAGTGCAGCATGTGTTTAAGTGCTCTGTTGGTTCAGGGCCATGGCTGTTTATATGATTTGGGTTCTGATAGCTGCTAGACACTTGCATTGTTTGAAAGCTAAATTCCTTGGTAAGTTACAGACAGTTTTCCTTAGCAAACCTGCAGCTACCAATGACCTAGCACTTGCTAAGGGTAGCAGGCCTATGCACTGTGTTCAGACAGCTCACAGCATGTGGTTCAAGCTTCCTTTTCATCACTACATTCTTAACTAGTTCCTCTGTCCTTGTAAGAACTGCTATCAGACAGATGGCTTCTACTCCAGTTGCACATTCTGTGTTTTTGGATAGTAAAATCCAACTGAAGACCCTCTCTGATGATGCTGGTTTGACTGTATTTATGACACCACAGACATCTGGGGCGTTAAAATTTCACTGTGATTTCACACCACTCAGAGTTAGTCCAGAAATATTTTGTTCTCCCTGTCCTCACATCCTGCTGGTCTGTGGTGGATACCCCTTCTCATTTCTTTTATCTCATTCCTTGCATACTAACCCAAAGAATTCTGTAACCACCCGCAGCTTAACTTATAGCCCATCAGTTGGGGCCTCAGAGTCAGACAGGCATAACTGGCATTAACTTCCTGTTTTTAAAAGTTGCAGATGCAAATATGTAGCTAGACAGTGACTGTAGTTCTGCCTCCTGCTCCTTTAGACGTACACAGTAGGGCCCTTATCCAGACTGGCCTTTCCAGGTGCTGCTGTAAATGCAATACAGCAGCAGCAGCTTACAGTCATTGCAAATATCCATTTGCTTCTTCTGTTGTGGCTGCATCTCTGTACTATTTGTACTGACACTCTAATTTGGACAACTGTAGCCACAGGGCTTTAGTTATACTCACCAACTGCAGCGGCTTGGTTCATAAGTAGAGCTGGGCTGCAAGCTGTTTTCCCTTCCTGTGAATGTTTCCAAGAGTTTCAAAAAAGTTCCCGTTTCACACCAGGACAAAATCTATACAGAATCACCCAATTCAGAATGGCCAACCACTTGGTGTTCCAAGCACCGCCTGGGATGTGGGGGGATGTGATTCAGGATTTACAATTCTGGTGTCATAGGGCCAGCAAAGACCTCAAGTCTCAGACCCCGGCACAGCTGCAGGATGCACTGCTCCAAAACCATGCCTGACCGATGCCTGTCTAGCCTTTGCTTGAAAAACTCCAGTGAAGGGGGTTCCACCACTTCCCTGGGCAGCCTGTTCAACTGTCCTACTCTTCTTACCAGAAGGAATTTTTTTCCAGGGATATAACCTAGATTTACTTTGCTGCATTTTAGACACATTGCTTTGTGTCCTGCCCTCCTCCCTCTCTGGCCCACTGAATAATTAGTTATTTATACAAAATACAGCAGCTTCAAAGGATAGATTGACTCAGCCTAGAATAGCTATCTGGGAGACCAGGTTTGAATGATGCAAAGCAGAGACTTGGACCTGAGATTCCTCCATCCTAGGAAAATGTCTGTCCACCTAGTTATTCTGGTATCGTTTTGAACAAGGTCTACTCTGGATCTGGAATACTGCTCCTAATGCCAGTTTTGTTGAAACGTGTGCATTTCAATCAGGAGCTGTGGTCTGGATGAACAAAGTGGAAATTCACTTTGTGGAAAAGTTCTCAATTAGCACTGTTCATAGCAAAAGTAACTTGATCATGCCCCGAGATCTTTTTCCTGCTATCCTTGTGTTACTTTTAAATCATTCAAGTAAGTAATTTTCAAAAGGAATATAAAGAATTTAGGAGCAAAAATCAAACTAACAGTCAATGAGTCTTGAGCTCCTAAATCATTTAGGGCATGTTTACATGCTATTTAGGATCAAACCTGAGAGTTGTTCTTAATTAGCCCAAAAGAGCCACTATTCCCTCTCTATAACACTGCTACAGGTGCACACCATACATAGAAGGAGATGTTAATGGGCAGAAGAATTTCTAGAAGGGTTTCACTAAAATACTTCGAAAAATCTGTCTGTCCACTACTTATCTCTCCATCTATGTTTAATTCTGATTATAACCAAGGGAGACAGGAAGTCAGGTACAGAAGGGCTGGAAGTCAGGTGCTCCAGACTTCCTGTGTTTTCAGCTTTCATCCTGGGTGAATTCTGAGTATATTGCAGGGGGACTGACCTAAAGGGAGGCTTGCATTTAGACCCTGATGACCAGGAGACCTTCTGTGGACAGATTGGACAGACGGCGAGGTGGGTTAGTGAAGGGGTTTTTCACGTAGATTGTTGGTGGGTTTGGCAGTGGGTTGGTGGGTTGCTGGGAGTGGCCCTAGGTAGTAGTGTAGACCAGTGGTGCTCACTCAACCTCTGGCCTACAGAGCTGTGTCATCTGACCTGTGGGGCTCCACAAGTGTCCAGAAATTTGGTGGTGAAGTAGCAGTGACTGTGTTAATTGCTGCTCCCTTGCTGCCCAATTTCTGAATGCACGGAGAGCCCTGAGGCTAGATAATATAGTCCTCAATGACTGATCATATTGACACATGGTCAAGCCATTGTGCAGGACTGCACCCATGGAACAACCCCACGCACCAACCCTGCACGGGATCTGGCCAACAGACTGAACCGCACACCATTCAACCAGGTCATGGGGCCAAAAGTTTGGGCCCCATGGGTGTAGACATACCCTTAGGTGCTTTTGAAATGTTTCCCCTTTTATCTTCACTTCTTGTTTCTGGCAAGTGTATGCTTCCTTACTTGTGTACAGACTAATGGAGCTAGGCAAAAAGTCCGCTTCCACATCACTTATTATCTTTATGTTGCACTGAAAATCCCTGGCAAATTATTTCTGGTGTATCTTCTCCAAGCATGAACTGCTACCCATTAGCAATAAGCTAGGTCCAGAAGAGGAAGGAAAGGAAGACATGTATTTGATAGATTAAAACTACTAGTATATTGCTTCATATATTTATGAATGAGGAGGGGCCTTCCTTAAAGGAGCAAAGGTGCTAAGTTTTCATCTGCAGATCTAAGCTATTAAGGTCTGCTTTGGATCTATTTAGATTTAGAACCACCTTGTTCTGCCAGTTTGAGAGAGGAAAATCGATTCGTGGTAGTACCTTTCACTGTGAGGGGAGTCTCGGTAGGAGTCGGGAGTCTCTCTTGCATGCCTGAGGAAGCTGTTGCAATCTCGTGGACCTCCTATTCCGTTCAAGCGTCCTCTGGGTCCTGCTGGGCTTGTATGCCGACTGTTCTCTACAGATGAGCTCACAAGCACTGAATGGCTTTCAGAGATAATGCTTTCAGTGTGGCCATTACTCCAACTGATGAAGAGATGATGAGGAAGGGAGAGAGGAGAATTTGGTAGGGTGGGAGGGAAAGCAGGGAGAGAGAAGGAAAGAAAACTTTGATTTCGAATTCAGAAGCAGATGCTAAAGTTTAACAATGGGACAGAAAAATCTGTCTACAGCTTGGGATCTGCATCTTAGACTTCATACAGAAGCAGGTTAATAGGAGACCCTGCATTTTATTAATAATGGTGTTCAAAAACATTAAGGTGCCTCTGCTTCTGTGAAGACCATGGAAAGGTGAAGTCTGAGAAGGAAAAAGGATCACCAGTCATGAGGCAGTACCTACTAAGGCAGCTCCCACTAGCTACAGTGGTAAAAAAAAAGACCTTTCACTAATTTAGCAATCAGCATAAATTACAACTCTCAGTATTCGTAATGAAACTGCATGCAATCAATAAAGCTCTTTGTAAATTCTGGTAAAGATAATTAGTTTCAGTGAACTGACGTCAAGTGCCATTCATCTTCAGATTAAAACCCCAAACCCAAGCATTTTTAATACATCTCTTTTTGCAGTGGTACAGGAATTCTTCCTGGCATCCCAGGCCTAGCAATTTTTATTTATTACCCGAGATCTGCAAACCAAGCAACACAGGATGCCTCATTGTCTCAGTACTGGCACCATCACAGAGAGTTTCTGGCTAAATTGACTCCATCCTATTCCCATATGCCACTGGAGCTCTAGCTCTTTCAAACACACTGCACATTTATTAAAGAAACCGGCAAACACCATATTAGCCACCATGGATGTCACGTCTCTATACATCAACATCCCCAATAAGGAAAGGTTGCAAATTATAAAGAAGATTATATCTTATGAGAACGCTGCTTCTGTTTCTGTTACACTATCTTACTTTGTCCTCACACACACCTCTTTCTGATTTTGGAATTGACTATACCTAAAAATAGGGGTGTGCGAAGTAGGCCCTACTCAATTTGTATTCAGCCCAAATCAGGGACAGTGATTTGATTTGTTGATTTGGATCACTGTCCCTGATTTGTTTCGGCCAAATCCGAATCTGAAGATTCGGTGCTGATTTGGAGAATCAGCAATTCAGACATAGACACAGCTTTAAATATTTTTTCTACATACCTCGAGGTACTAGCACGGCTTGTGATTGCCATGATGCTGGGGCAGATGGAGCGTCCCACAGGAGTGGGGGAGGGCCTCCACGTGCTTAGCAGCGAACCCGGAAGTGGTCCACTGAGGAGCATGCTAGGGGGTGCCCCCGTGCCCATCTGGCTTGGTGATCGGCCATGGCGGGACCCCGGGTGCCCCCACCCAACCCAGGAGGCACCAGCTGCTGAGCCGGAGAAGAGGTGCGGGGGCGGGGGGCAGCACACTCCCCAGAGGACCTGGAAGTGGACTGGAAGTGCTTCTGATCCACTTCTGGTCTGCTGCCGAGTGTGCCGGGGAGCCCCCCCGCGCTTTTGTGGGACCCTCCATTTGCCTCAGCTACCTGGAGGTATGTAGAAAAAACATTTAAAACTGTGTCTATGTCCGAATCTCTGAATCTTTCTGAATCTTTCCGAATTGATTCAGAGGGTTCCAATTCAATTCAGAGAAATTAAAGGGTCCTTTGATTCAATTTGGATTCAGTCACCTAATCGGGCCGAATCTCTGCCGAATCAAATCAGGGACCAAAGCTTCACACAGCCCTACCTAAAAACAAATGGCACTGTCATAGGCTCATGGATGGCCCCCCAATAACCTAACATATTCATGACAGGCCTTGAAGTCCATTTCCTCTGCAGCTTCCCTCTCATCCCTGTGATATGCCTAAGGTACATCAATGACATCTTCATTGTCTGGGGATATGGAAAGGAATCTCTAGAGAAACATCAGCCCCTCCATGAAACTCCATGACGCTGGAATACTGCATCCACCAAATTCATTTCCTAGGGACAGCTACTTTCATGCCACCAGGTTTTATTCTAAGCGCACCACTAGATCCACTGTGTACAGTCAACATCTATGTTACAGCTGTATCTGCTCTGATTGTACCAACTGGGATGTACGCTTGAAGGAACTGGAACAGGGAATCTTACAGTTACAACGCAATCCCAAAACTGTAGCCACTCAAATCAACACCGCCAAACTCAGACTTTGCTCTGACCTGCTACAGTATCAACCTCAGGACAACAGAATCCCTCTGGCTGTCATTGACAGCCCCTGGCTAGAATACCTTTGATACATCATTAATGACTTCCAACCTCTCCTGGAAAAAGAGGACCATGCGTGTCAAGGTAGTCCTGGAGGACAAACCTGTCCTGGCTTCCAGACAGCCCCAACAATCTCAAACAGCATCTCTTAAACACAGGCTACCCTAACTCCCATTCTTAGCAAGGCATTAAACCTTGCAATGGACCTAGATGGAAGCTGTGCCGCCTCATTAATTCAGACCACATCATCACTGGATTAGAAAACACAGAATATAACATCCGAGGCACAGTCACTTGCATCTTTACCAACATCATATAAGCCATCACCTACTTATAGTGCACCTTTGCTGTATACACTGAGCAGATGGGGTGATCCCTACGTGCAAGAATGAATGAATACGGATCTGACATCAGCTTTAAAAAGACACAAAGGCCCGTGGCAGAATGCTTCAACCTCCCTAGACACTCCATCGCTGACCTCAGGGTAGGTGTTCTTAGGCAGAACTTCAAAACTTCAAAAAAAACCCTCAAATTGGAAATTGCAGAACAAGAAACCATCCACAGCTTGGACTGTGTTAAGTATGGTCTAAACATGGATTATTTTATCCCATGACCTGGATTAGCTTTTGTGACCCCTCTACTTTTATGGGTTTATGCCTTGCTTGTTTGCCTCTCTCAGCATTACCCTCCCACCCTCCTTTTACCTCCCCCATCCCTCCCTCCCTCCCTCCCTTTCTTCCTCCCATCCTCCCTCCCTCCCTTTTATATTAAAACAATTCTCTACATTTTATGCACTGTGCTATGTATATCCTTTAACAGCATCTTATGAAGTAAGCTAGAGCTCATAAAAACTTCTGTTATAAGGGTATATTCCATTAGATTACAAAGTGCAAATCTACCCTGCATTCTTCTAGAACTGACATCCAAGAACCGCCTGTCTTTTTCACTGTCGTACCTGTGGCTGGGTGTCTGGGTGACTGTTGTAGAGTGATGCGTTGTTGAGGTATAGTGACTCGTGGAGAATGATGTCTCTGTTTCTCTCTCAATTACATGTTCACTGGATATTACATTTTTCGATACATACTGCTGAAAAAATAGAAAACCCCCATCTTTATATACTGGAGCATACAACTCACTCGCTCATGCACACATATTTACATGTGTACACACACACTTTAAATCCAAAACAGGAGAGAGTCAGCTAATGTGAGAGCTGCCTGCAGTTTAGGATTTATAAAATAGATATGCTTTATAGGCAAATTCAAATACTTCATGGATGGGGACTTTGAATGTAACACTTTCTATAGCTGGTGTTGTTGGTTGTAGCCATGTTGGTCTAAGGACACAGGCAGGCAAGGTTCTTTGGGGGTAGATGTAATATCTTTTATTAGACCAACTAAATAGTTGGAAAAAAGTTCTTTGCAATCTTTTGGGCACAAACACCCTTATTCAGGCACTGGGAGACACTTTCTTTAGCAGCACCATCTTACTTGCTGCCTTTCTTGATGAAGAACATACTGTGAATATTGTCAAGTTCCTGGTCTGCAAATAACTGTTTTCAGTGGAGGTTATACTATGGCTCATATATTGTCAGTAACACCAGTCTGAGTCTGTTGCATAATTCTCAATGAAAACATAAGGAACAATTTGAAATACCTGCACAGGTACAGCCAAATTAAAAAAAAAGGTACAGGTCATATGGATCATGGGTCATATTTGGGGATCTCCAAATATCCTCAATAGGGCATTGCTGAGGCTGCTTGCTGGAATTCTCAATTGCTATTAATACAAACCGTTGGTTTCTCAGCTCTTAAGAATCTGGCTGCTTAGTTAGGTCTCTGAAGGGGAAATACTGGATACTGAGCTCAGCAGAAGACAGGAGTTGAAATCCTGTTTCTTCTGAAGCTTTGCCACTACCTTCAGTTGGTCAAGGATCTCACCCCTGTCCTGTCCTGACACACAGATTTACAATGATGTTGAAATACTGAGAAAGGATGGCTGGAATGACTGGAGGCTGCACGAAGCCCACTTTATTTCTGGACAAACCAGACTCCCAGGGAGAAAGGCAGGAAGGAAGAAACTCTTGTAGACACTGGAATCTTACACAGAACCTAAGCCAAGGTCAGAATTGGTTTCTGATCACTTATACCGGTTTATGTGCAAGTTCTGTCCCTAGCTACAGAGTTTGTGCATCGCTGATAAAAAGTTTATCCTTAGCTGTTCAGCTGACCAAGGTGCTATGGCATTATCCCAAACTGCTACGTAGCTATCTGAGGTGGGAATTTAATCCAGCTCTTTTTTCTAAGGCAACCTTTTCTTCTTCATTATTCTCCTTCTTGTAAGTCTTATAAGTCAGCAGTGACAGTTCCTTTTTTTCATGGAGTCAAGCAACCCACTTTTTCACAGAGACTTCCATGTTATCCTGTATTGTGTCACTACAATTTGGAAGACTCTGGGAGAAATCCTGCTTTGTGGAAGTCAATGAAAATCTTGCAATTGACAAAGTGGGACACCGATTTTCTCCCTAAAGCTTGGCATGGCCTTCACCTCCCCTACATAAAAAGCCTAGTACTGCTGTTCTTGCTTAGACAAATATCCATCGGCATTAAGGACTGCTGAGCCATGTTAAGTAGAACCCCTTCAGCATTTACCAGGCCAGTGAACTGGGGGAAACAGTGGGAAGGGCATGACATTAAATACCCACTTGATACATTGTAGAGAAGCATCTCTGCACATAGTCTGCTATTGCTGGTATCTTAACTTCTCTGTCTGCTACAGAGATCCGGTGGCTCATGTCTAATGCGGTGTGGAAATGATCATATATAAAAATGTTCTGAATTCATCCTAAATCAGATTTTTTTTCAGAGGTAGTTCTAATCATTTCCAGGTGGACAAATCCCTGATTACTGGAAAATCCTGCCATTCAATTTTAGCAGCTAATAAGATTTTAAAGGTGGTGAGGTGAACGCTGCTCGTACACTGACAGGTGAGAGCTAGTACTAGACAGTAAAACCTACATTCACCAGCTGGACATTTTCCGGTGGTGGGTTGGGATGGTGGGGTCCATTTGCCATGTTCACCATGTTATTCCGTTCTGAGCGCAGGCTTTGCCGAAGACGGTCGTGCAACTTTTTCCGCTGCTTTCTGCATGTAAGAGGGAAATAGTTTTAATAGAAGTGGCTGCACCTGTCAGCACAGTCATGTCACTGTAGGGTCAACACACTGCCGTTGCTAAGAGCTGGGAAGAGAGGTAAAGGTTATTTTAAAATGTACTCTATTTTAAAAGCAGTTCCACTCTGAAACTCAAAAGGAAAATGGCTAGAGATGTTAGCCCTACAATTAAAATCTCAACAAGGTTACATCCAGCTTTTTACAGTGCTCTGGATTATACATATCTCTGGGTTCCCCTTGCTTTGCTGAGCTGCCATTCCTAATTGCTAAGCAATCAAATGCAAAACATGGTGGGATTGCTTTGCCTGTGAATGCAAAATGGCTGCGTGCAGCCACAGCTCTTTGCAGTGTGAACTGTCTCATGTTAACAGCCTGTTGACTCTGAAGCCCAATGTTTGTCCATGTTGTTGTCAATGCAGGTAACATGTTCATGGCCTATCACTGCAACAGAAACAGTCAACTTCTATACTTAAAGCACAGCCTCAAAGTGTCTCTCTTGTGCCCAAACTTAAATTATTCCCTATCTAGTTGCTAACCCTTCTAGCTTCCTCCTATGAAAACTTCTATGAGACAGTTACAAGTGGTTGGTAACACAATCCACAGAACACTAACAATGGAAACTGTGGAGATAGTATAAAATGCATTGAACTTGACAGCAGAATAAATAACATAGGGGAGTATGTATTATTGTATTATTATATATATATTATAATGTATTATTATACATTATAATGTATAATAATACATTATAGCTGTATTATTCAATTTCATACTGAATTTATTAAAATCCTCAAAATTTATCCATTGCTACTGCAGAATTTTTATCATAGCACCAGAGAATCCAGCTGTGCAGAATTAGGTCCAGCTGACTGCAAAGTCTATAGAGCCTTAGCTTCAGTAGTAGTTGACACAGGCAGTTCCTAGGGCTGTATGCGAAAGTGCAGCTATTTTGGCAGGATAAGATACTATAAAATATAGCTATTTTCAAAACTATTCAGAACTCCTGGGAAGAGTATTTCATGCTTACCAAAAAGAAAAAAATGTTGAAGCTTAAAATATATAACAACCAAGGGGACTTGCATACAAAGAATGTATTAGTGAACCATGTGCATTTTACATATTTTTTGGAGGCACATTTAGTGTCCCCACTCATATACTCATGGCATATGCATTTGTACAGGAAGGAGAAACACAGACTAACTTTGGGCTGGTGTGGGGGAGGTTCTGGATGGCACACTTCAATGGCACAAAAAAGGACATGTGGAACATGGTCTGCACTGGCTGTGCGAAGACGGGATAACCAAGCCAGACTTGCAGCCATCAGAGTGGTACACATATTCCTCCAGTTCTTTGGGGATGGTCTGAGCCTTCCTGCTCTTCTACAGCAGGTTGCTGAGCCACCATCTCTCCCAGACTAGCTCTCCAGAGTCAAGCAGAAAAGAGGTAGCATAGGAGCCTGTATATACTCCAAACACACCAGAGCCAGGTGACCTGGTTACTGCATATATTCTAGTACATGAGGGTTTGAGCCAGTCAGAGAACATGACTCAGGTCCCATCTCCCCTATATCTCAGAGCCAAGGTAGTGGTTAGCTGTGTGCTGACCAAATTCCCTGATTCAACTGTGCCTACAATGTAGGTGGGCTCTAAAGAGGCTTAATTCATAGGCATATGAACAAAGCAAGGGCTTACGGTGCAGCTGTAGTAACTGCCCATGCGAATTCTCTTTACCCACAGTAAATGAATGGCAATTTAGTCCTCTTTCAGATCCATGATCCAGATTCTCAGCTGGTATAAAAGAAATCAATGGAGCTATACTAATCCACACCAGCTGGGAATCTGGCCCTGTGAGTCTATTCAATTTCTCACTTTCAGCAATAAAGCTATTTGGATTTTGCACACTTGCAAACGTGTTGTTCTTCCTGCATTTAAAGGGACATAAATGAACTAAAGAGAAATTACTAAAGGAAGCCAAGAGGAAAGAGTAATGGGAAACCTAATATGCCTGTCATTCGTTCTGTGGTGTCTCTTCATTAATTTAATTGCTTTGTGGATAGAATACTTTCAAATTTAAGATTCAATGTTAGAAGATGTCATTTTAGTACTTATCAGCAGTGTCATTTGCCAAGGTGCCCATGCATGCCTCACTTTTTAAAAAATGTTTTCTTTTCAAACCACTGTAAGGTTTTCTTTGGTTTTTCCAACAGTGGAATAAGACACACTGTAGGCATTTTACACGTGCTGCAGGATGCGGAACCAGGCACTTTAATTAGTGAGCTGCGCTAATTAAAAAGTGCCCTCACGTCACGTGCATCTGTCCCCGTGTGTCCCTGCAATGAAAAAATAGTTGTGGGGCACTTTGAACTGAATCTCATTGGACATGTTTTACTTTAAAGCACCCTGCCACCATTTTTTTAGCACAGAGATGTACTGTGCCAATGATACGCATGGTGTGGAAGGCTGCCAGAGCGCATCAATTTCCGTGCTTCAGTACACTCAGTTAATTGAGTCTGCTCTGACGCACTGGATTTCCAGTGTGTCAGAGCAGGCTCAACGCACGTGTATACGAGCCCTGAGGATCTCACATGCTAATGACAGTATTGCTGCACTTTGGTGGCTTAACTTGTTAGTCCCCTTTGAACATTCATCAGTGGTGTTTTAAAACCACACACAGACTACTGGCAGGAACTCCCACTATCTGATGTTCTTCCTGGTTATCAAGGACTGTCTAGAGACTCTAGACTGCATTAGGTGATTTCCAGAGATGTGGTGTGTGATGCCTATGTTTAAAAACTTGAAAGTTTGAAGCCTGATCCAAACCAATTTCACCATCAGTAAAGGCTCTGCCACCAGTTTTGCTGACAGTTGGATCAGGATAGCATATCTTATGGACCTTTGCTTTGGTTTAGTGCAAATGTGGTAAATGCAGGTTATGTTTTTAGAAGCTTGGCAGGTTCGGTTAGGGGAAGACTAGCCAGAGAAGATAAGGGATGTTGCAATAAAAGTTCCAATGACTTTTACAGGAACTTCCTGTCTTCAATTCCAAATATATTTTTGAAGTATGCCCTAATTTACAGCGGTATTGCTGAATTAATTTCACAGCACTCTGGTATTTGGGACAATTTCAAATTTGAACTTTTAGCCTTTTGTATTTACAAATTCCCCATGATTGTTAATTTTATTCTCAACTGCAAACAAGCTGGACCAATCCTTTTACATTTAATCCCAGACACACATTTTTTAAATGTTGGGTTCTGTTCTCTCACACTGTTATGAGCACATGACCAAAACGGAACAGATGCTTCAGTGATATTACTCTGATTCACATTCCAACTGAGACGGTGAATTAATTAATGTTTGTAAAGCCCTTCTATATTAGGCTGTGTGATATTTGATGTGCAAAACATACATAAATATTATTATTTTGATACTTTCACCTGATAATGAGTGAGCCTTTTTGCCAGCCTACCAGCTGTGTTATTTAAATTCAAATTTAGATAAAGACAGATTATGATTGACCATGTTAAAATTGTCATGCTACCTACAGACTCAAAGAAAGCTGTAGCATAATGGTTCAGATCAGCTTGCAGGTCTATGGCAGGTTTCAATCACGCAATGAATGTCATTGGTGACTAGACAATGGGATAACTCATGATGCTACGTGCCAACTTGTGAAGGTTTGTAATATCAGGCCCTTAGTGACAATCATAGAAATAAAAAGGAAGAGAAAAGTTTACTTGGTTTTGCAGTAGGCCACCACACACATGATGCCAACCACAAGGAGGGCAATACAGATGCCAGTTATGGTCAACACCCTTTTCTGGTACAGTTCCTCAGCTTCTAGAAAGGGACAAAAACAGAGAAGATTACAAGATGCAGACTGACTGTTGAAGCAGTGACAGATGAACAGCTGACATGCTACATACTGCAAGATCACACAGTAACACAAAAAACACAACCACCAAAAAATCATTATAGGCTTCAAAGGGAACTAGGTAAGACTGTAAGCTCTTAAAACAATATTGATGCCTGGTGGGTGCCAGTAAAAAGAAGTAAAATAATAAACAAGATACTTCTATTTTTAACTAGAATGATATTAAATGTATATTTTTAAAACTGAGAAACTGTCAGCATTTACTTAAAATAAAAATGCAATGCATTAAGGTAATCATATGAATTTGAAATTGCTTGGGATGTTTTACTCCTGCAAAGACAGCTGGAATGACCATCCCTTATCAGTCCCGGAATTTTTTTTTAGCTTGTATCTTTTTTTCTCCTGTTCTTGCCTCTCCCCCCCACAAACCAATTTTTCTCTTCTTTCCTCCCACAAAATATCTATTTATATCTCAGTGGTCTTTACAGGAGAAATTTCAGAATGTCCTTTTACATTTGTAGCATGAGCTTGGCTTGTAATTACATCACTGATGGAAATGAGACAGGCTCAGCAGTTTGGTTAAAAAAAAAATGGTTAAGCCTCATTTTCCCCCAACACTAAAAAATATGGTGGTACCAGAGATGAGTGATGCATTGTATCAGAGAAATATTGTGCATTTAAGTTGCCTATCATAATTTATAGTAAAGGAATTGCCATTGCTAGAGTGTCACCTTTTCCTCTGACAAAACATAGAACTCTTATTCAGAGATATTTTACGGTTATGAAGAAATCATTAGCACCAGCAATGTTTAGGTAGGAGCACACCCCACATTCCAGAGTTGGTCACACTTGGCAAAAACCACACTGCATGTTATCTTAGGGAAATGTTATGCTTAGAGTGCTGGACTGAAGATGCCAACTGTGTACTGACAGAGAGGGAAGCTTTGTGGATCCAAACTATGTTCCTCTCTTTGGGATCAATATGGTCATCAGGGGGTGCATTTTTTTTTGTATGGCCACATTAGCAAGCACAGAGGCCCCAATGGTGAGTTGACTCTGCTCCTTTACTGTTAGGGTTCCCTTATACAGGCTTGTGATAATACTCTATGAATATCTCCTTAACCCGTGGGAACTCAGTCAGCCAAAGTTAAGCTGTAAGGCAAGAAAGGAAGTGAAGAATTGCTTTCACCATACTTTATGTCACAGCTAATGGTTTTTTGAAACTTTTAAAAAATGTTTCTTTATTTTTTTTTTCCAGGTGTCACCTGGTCTAGTGTTACGTAGCTTGTGGCATGGGGCTCTTGAAAAGGAAGTTGTGTTTGTGTGACAGGATTTAGAATCATCTTGCATACTGTGGTATCTAAGTTGGTAGGAGACACTGGGCACGTCTACATGTTCATTAATGCGCTTTTGCTAATATGCATTAAATTTAGTACCTTCATTGTGAGCTACTGGAAAAAGGCGCATTAGTCTATTTTAATGTGCATTAGCAAAAGTGCATTAATGTAGACACACTCGGTGTGGTTCCCAGCTTGTCATGTCATGAAAGAGTCAATATTGGTCATGAGGCTGCTCTTTCAAGTAACAAGGTAGCTGCTGATGTATCTTCATGCTCCCAACATGAGGAAGGTCTTGTTGGGAGAACAGGGACTGCAAGCACTTTGGTTGATGTTTATGTAATATTTTCTGAAATACTGGCTAATTTAAGAAACACTTTTCAAGAACAAACCTATACTTAAGGATGCATTGCTCATTGGAGAATGAACATTACTATGGTCTACAAGGAAGTCACACAGGTATTATTTGTTCTTTCACACCTCCCTATCATATAGCAACTAGCCGTGCAAGGTCATCATGGAATACAAGTTTCATTATGAATGGAAATTTTCCTGTGGTAGACAAGGCATATTAATTTCCATGATACAATGCACCTCATCACAAAAAAAAAAAATCTTCCTACAAGCCAACCCCAATGAAAATCAACACACCAGTTAAGAGGTCATGAACACTGTCAGACAAAATTAATAGCACTGATTATTAAGGAGGGAAAGAAGAAGTCAGTTTGGTAAAACTATAATGCCAAACAATTTATTAAACAACTCAAAATCCAGGAACGGAAAGTCGAAAGGCAAAATAAAAAAACAAAACCAACACATAAGACAGAGAGAGGATGACAGGGAAAGACAAGGTTAAAGGCTGAGGAGTCAACTGCAGGCCTGGCATAGCATGCTTGATACTGGAAAAAATAGAGTGAAGAAATGCTTGAAATAAAGGTTGAAGCAGAGTCTGAAGGGATTTCTCATACAGCATAACTCCTGACTTTGCCTAAGTAGCAGCTTCTTTTGCTAGCACTTAGTTAGTCAGGCAAATGGTATATTATGATGTCACAATGCACTAAGAGACTAGAGAATTGTGTTAACTGATTCAAGTGAATCTGGACTGATTTGTATGGTAATTTGGTTGTCACGCTATCAGCCACTATCTTATGAACGCAAAAAAAAGGCGGGGTGGGGGAGGGCTAAATAAATATGGAGCAATATTCTTCTCGGTTCTGTCAGTGCATATCTTATTAATTTTCCAGACATCAGTGGAATCACTTCAGTTTGACTAAGAACAGATTGTGGCCTGTGGTCTTTTTTTGCCAATGTAATTAGGGAGAGCTAGGTTTACACAGGCATCTGACTGTCCTATCTGTATCCTATGGCACCTGCCATGTGCTATGCATATATGTGTATACATTTATGATCTTTATTGGATTATTGCTCTTTATGGGACAAGTCTGAATGGTATCAGGGACCTTCATGCAAAGGCCCTAAATTTGGGGATAGCTGAAGGTTCTATGTGGGACTACAGTCCCTGTCTGTGCCCTGCTACCTGGAGGTACCTGTGTGTGAGCAGGGAGAGCTCCTATAAATTGTGCTCCCAGGTCACAGTTTTGAGGGGACTAACCGTCTCCAGCTGCCCTGAGATCCACCCAGTTAGGAACGAAGGTTTTATTATTCCCCATTGATCTGTGTTTTTTGAGGGGTTTTCAGGTTGCACTCCTGCCTCTTCTGTAAGCCCACACTCTTCTGAGGGAAGCAAATGGGGCAAATGAAATATACTTCATGGAGTTTTTAACAGTATTTTTATCCCTCCTGCCAGATGGGAACAAGTGAGTTTAACCAGGAGCATGGCTGTGCCAGCTTTTGCCTATGCTACACAAATCTTACAGCCGCAGATATCTGCCCAAGGCATAGTTATTGCATCTGGTGTCTGTGCTCACCTCCACAAGGATGGTTTGCAATGGGCTGGAGAGAGAGTACTGTCAGGGGGGCCAGGGCTTTACTGATTTAGAGAATCCCCATAAAGAATGTCAAGCACCATTTCTATCCAAAATGTCAAGACAGGACAACTGTGCAAATGTCTTTTCACCCTTCTCTGAATGGAAGAACTCTCTGACCACAATGGTTTCTCCTGGCTCAGGGCACTTCGATTTGTGGCTCCTGGAGTAGCTCATGGTATACGTACTGGCAGGAGTGTGTCCTATGTAAAGTCTTATGGGTTCTAGTCCCTGAAACAGGCCATGTTAAGCTCTTCCACACTAGCTTTACAAGAATGTGCATTTCATATTCCAGGCTTTCCATTATACAATCCAAGTGATCTGCCCAAGCTTCTTCTCCTCAGATAATTTAGAAGTGTATGACATGAAAGGCAGGTAAATGATATTTTGCAGAAAGGAGGAGGAGAGTGAGCCTAGTCCTTCCTATCCATTCAGGGCACAAAGGACCACAGAGTGTGGTCCCCACATCTGAACTGGGAGGGGGGCGGGGTGCTGGGCTCCAGGCCTTTCTCTCTATTATCAGCCTATCTGAGTAGGGATTAGGCATGTTCTTACCTACTAATATGCTTTTTGGAATCAATACACGTCACATGGTGGGCCATAGAAAAGCTGTTGGTCAGCAGGTCTTGCTCTTGATCAAATAGCATAAAAGAAGATTTACAAGCTGCAGGCTGGATCTTCAGCTGGTATTAAAGTGGCATTTATAACTGCTGATTTATAACAGGTGAGGATCTGACGTTCTATCTCCAAACTGGGCATTTTGAAGTTTAGAAGGGAGTTTATTTGTGGTTATTAGTCAACTGGACCCAATTTGCAAAATTGATTATCTGATGTCAAGGACATAAATCTTTGCTTAAGTACCCATTCCAGGCAATTAAGTTCTGATTATAGATTTAGATACTTGACTTTGGAAATTGGGCTCAATGCCATGAATTTTGTCCTAGAAATTAAATGACTGTGCTATCCTGTCATAGTTTTGTTTCCAAAATTCAGCAGTATCAAAAGCTCATGGAAATGTGACCAACTGTTAAAGCTGTCTAGGAGTAAAATGAATTTACAGTACTGTGGCAATGTCTAATTCTTAGATGTCTGATACTCAAAGTATCCTGTGCATATTAATGCTCTAGTGAGGTATTCACAGAGAGAATGTTAATAAAGGTCCATGTTATAGCTGTATGATCCCTTCTAAAGCATAGAGAAATTGGTTAGGAATTGAGGGGGAGGATGGGAAAAAAGGTTTTATCTCTCAGGCTCTAAAATCTGCAGGCTAAAAGGAATGATTGGTCCATACCCATAAATTCAATCCCAAGATGCTCTGCCAATGCAGAAAGTTGACAAAAAAGAAAGAAAAGGGAAAAAGTTTCAGAAAAGAGCAATACACCATACTCCAAAACAAATTACACATGAATATTATGGCTATTCTGTGTCTGCACACTGAAACAGGACAAGTGGCGTGTGGTTAATGGGGCAGTGCTCAGGCAGTGCTTCTGTAACTTTCATTGTGAAAAGGGTAATACACCATAATAGGTTCACAGAATCTCAAGTGGCATAATGCAGTGGAACGTGGTAATGATGGTTAACCCTTAAAGATTTTACTGAGGTATACAAGGGGGCTGTGATTCTAGGGTACAATCTGAAGCAGTTGAACGTCTGACTGACAGCATGCAACTGCCTTATGCTGAACTGAATTATACCACCCAGGGAAGGCATTTTGTAGGAGGTCTCTACTCCGTCGCTGAAGATGAAGACCTCATTATGCTGGTGGAATACCTTGCCATTCCTGATACCCAGTTCTTTTCTTTTGGTTATCACTAGTTTGAAGGGAACTGATCCTCAGCAGAGTGGGCCTGTCAGTTTTTGATGTGGTTTAAATCAGCCAGCTCCACTAAATGTGGAGGGGGGCGGGGGACTACACCCATGTACTCTAGCTGAGGATATGACCCACTGTCAGGCATGCAGTCCCTGAAAAATCCTGCCTAGGGGAACTGATATGCCTCCAGGGAGCTGGGAGCAATATCAGCCCAATAAGCACAACTAGCTAAATTATTTCAGGGCTGGCCTCATGGAGGAATGTAGGCTTTGTGTTTTGTAAAACCCAGGGGGGCTGGAAAATGCTTTGTGTTCAAGTGAACCCATTTTCCTTTGCAGAATTAAAAACCCCAGGTAAAACTGAACTACACTGAAGTCAATAGCAAAACTCTGATGAATGTTAATGGGGCTATAGTTATAGGTGGTTTGGCTAACTGAGTTGCATGGAAAAGTTAAATTCCATTCCCATTGGGATACCAATGGGAATGGACTCCCAGCAACTCTCCCCATTGGGATACTAGATTAGCTCTCACTTTCTCAGCTCTTGTTCCTATGGACTTTGGAAGCCAATCTGGATTTTCTAAAGAAGTAGGTACTCAATAAGCATATACAAATCAGTGAAGATGGAGGGCCCAATTAGTTTTGTGCCAATCAGTAACATTTTAAGGGTTAAATCCATCAGAATCCATCCACATTTCTACCTAAAGAGCCAGTTTTAAATGCCTACATGAACACTGCTAACAATATACATTAGTTGCATAGAAAGCTTGGTTAAATTTTCAATAAAATTAGTGACATGCACATGCATATATATTACTGCATTTAGGTTGTTTTAGAGGTGAGACTGGTAGCCTGCCTGTAATTCAGTTTCAAGGGAAATCATTCATAACATGCACCCTCTATTTCAAATAATTCAATGGGAAATTGGTACTTAAAATGGGAATATATTCTGGCTGAAAGCCCTAAGAAGAAAACATGCTGAGAAAACATGCACCACTCATTCTGACCCTAGACTGAATATGGCTCTAATTTATTTTTGCTATTTACAGCTACTTTCTCTTGCCCTGATTAAGAGAAAGCAAAATACCCCAACAATTTTTATTTTACAAAGAGTTAGGTACCACTCTTCCTATTCAAGCTAATGTCTTACACTCATTATATGTGAAACGGTTTTAACCAAACCTCTGTCCAGGGGCTTTAAAAAGAACTACAAAGTTTGCTTTAAGTCATTCCATTTTCATTCTAGATATGATTTTGTGCTTGGCAAAACTGAAAAACGAAACAAAACAAAAATGCTTTAAGGCATAAATTGTCAAAAATGACTTAGGAAGCCAGAGGGTCAAAATGCTGGTGAAAGAGAGTTTTTTGAAAATACTGGTTTATAGAACCTGAACTGGTGCCATAAAAATGTCTCGGGTTTGCTGCAGTTTGGGAGATTTGAAAACAGGCTTCTCATGAACTCTCCTGGATTCTCTGTCTGAAATCATGGCAGGATGGATTCAAGGCTGGGGCCACAGCTGTGGGGCAGCCTGCCATGTCAGCTTAACTGGGGCTCTAAGGGCTTCCAGGCTTCTGACTAAGGACCTAAGGCTTGAAACCTGGAAGTCCTAGGACTTGTCCTAGTCCATGGCAGCACCACCATTTGAATCACCCAGGATATTATAGTGGGGTTCATAGCCCCAGGCAACTTGGAAATGCCCCAGAGCCATGGTGTCTGGCCCTAATATTAACCCAGAGTCTGAGGATCTCAGTGCTTCCAGAGTTCTTGGCTCAGGGGCAGCCACACCAAGACTCGTACACTTGCTGCTGTGGAGCTGGGAGTCCAAAAGCCCCGAGAACCCTGGCTCTAGCAGGGAGTCTGGAAGCCCTAGTTACAGCTTGGGCATTTAGAGTTTGAGGTCGCATCATATCTGGAGCTTCCAGGCTGTCAGACTCCCAGTGGATAGCCTAGGGAAGCCAGTGGCCTGGGAAGTGCATGGTTTCCAAGGGCACTCTGTATGGCAGGGGAAGTTCTAAGCCTCAAACACTGGGAACCTGAACAGCAAATGCAAAGGTGGGCAAAATGGCCCATCCTGCCGACAGCCGGACTCCATTTCCCAGTAGCCCCTGCCTGCAGGGCTGGGGCCAATCTTCATGAAAACTCCAGCTACAGCTGTGCTGTGAAAGCTCAAGGCTGGGGTTGCCATGGAGACCAGCCCCAGCCTCCCTGGCAGTGTGTGTGGCAGAGCAGGGCAGGGGGATGCTCCAGAGCTGCTGGGATCTTGTGATGGGGGCAGTTTGCTCTGGAGCCACAGCAGAGCTGTGATCTGTAGCTGGCATGCTCCGGGCAAGGGCACGTAGGCAGGGAAGCATGGCTCTGCCCCTGCTCCAGACCAGGCTGTCACCGCTGCAAGGAGCCAGGGCACAGATCAGAGTGTGCAGGCTACAGATCATGGCTCTACCCTGACTCCAGAGCAAGCTGCCCCATCACAAGATCCCAGTAGCTCTGGAGCATCCCCCTGTCCTGCTCTGCCACGTGCCCTGCCAGCATGGCTGTGGCTGGTCTCCATGGCAACCCCAGCCTTGCATAATCATAGCGCAGGTATGTCTGGGATCTCCATGGAGACCAGCCCCAGCCATGCGCAGGGGCAGCTGGGAAATGGAGTCCACTGCCGACTGGATCCTTGCCCTTCCCTGAGCTAATGAATGAAACTGACAAGAATATCAGATTCATTCAGCAACTGTGGAATCTCAGAAGCAGATTTGGTTTCAGAGGCACCATGCTTTTTATGTTTTGGAAACTTTTTTTCCCCTTAATTTCTGGTTCAGAAGAAATGTTGATAAGTTTGGCTCTGCTCTGATATGGACTCAAGCAACACTTAAAAAATATTTTAAAAAACCCTGGAAATCCTGCATTTTGGCCAGCTGAACAGAGATAGTTATGATTGCTATTCAGAAATGAGTTAGGCACTGAGGGCATTTTTACACATGCTCTGGGGTGGGAGGGGAAGGGGCAATGCTTTAATTAGAGCGACTCCAAAAGCTGCTCTAATTAGAGTGCTTCAGCGTCTTGTATATCAGCATCCCCATAATTCAAAATGGCAGCAGGGGCACTTGAACTACAGGTCATTGAACTTGCTTTAGTCCATGAACCCCTGCTGCCATTTTGAAGCATGGGGATGCTGATACATGAAATGCTGGAGCACGATAACTACTATGCTTCTGCAGCCTGGATAAATCACGTCTGCTCCAACATGATGTAATTACAGAGCATCAGAGCAGGCTCTGTGCTTGTGTACAGACACCCTAAGAGCCTAGATCCAAATGAAATTCAGTGGGCACATCTACACATGTGCTTTAATGCACAGTAGCCTATCCTACTGTGCATTAAAAGTAGCAGGTAAAATCTGTTAATACACTAATGCACAGTAGAATAGGCTACTGCTCATTAAGCGTCACTAAAAAAGCATATGCTTGCACTCCTGCACATTAACACAGCCGAATGTGCATTTATTTAGTACCTCATGTTGGAGGTACTAAATTTAATGTGCATTAGTAAAAGTGCATTAATGCACATGTCAACACACCCAGTGAGACCAACTCCTAAAATGCTCTTTTCATGAACACAGGTGCCTTCATCTCTTGAAAAATTTTACCCTGTCTCTAATTAAAATTTGAGAAAAAGTTAAGGATTCATTTTATCTTCTTAGATAAATATCAGAGCCAATTAACTTCCAAAGAATTGGTGTAGTAATTTATATCTAAAAAAGTGGCCTCTTCTTTTAATGTCAAATCTGAGATTAAGGCTAGGGACAGACATTCAAAGAGTCTGAACTGATTCAATCTTTGCAGGTTAGTCGAACCTGGCTAGGCTAAATCAGTTTGTAACTGCACAGACATCCCAGACATGCAGGTACATGCCTGTAGTGACAGGCTAGAAGCTGGGATTGTGGGGGGGGGTGTGGTGGGCACTAGCACAGCCCTCCTTTCCCTTGCATAGTGCTGAGCTGAGGAGGTGCTCGGTCAGGACCTGGCAGGAAGCTTTCATTGGGGAGGGGTTCTCCCCTCCCCCTCCTGACCAGCCCAGCAGGGAATTGATAACTCAGTGTTTATCACCCCAATTAAGAGAACAAGAGGGACATTACCAGCTACATGTTGATTCTGCCTTTGTGCCGTCTGCCACAGCATGACCGTAGCCAGCAGATGGTCTGCTAGCTAATACACAGACACCTCTCAGCAAGGCAGAGGGGAGGGGGGAAATTCCTGCTTAGCAGTGAGTGGTAAGAGGGAGAGGGGAAGCAGCCTGCAGTCTCTGCTGAGCTGCAGCCAGGGAGCAGAGAGGAGGGGCCAGCTGTGCTGTGGAGCAGAGAGAGTCACCCAGGCCAGAGCCCATGCCGGGATGCTAGGGGAGTCTGGTTTAACTTAAACCAGCAAGGGATCTGGGACAGACATTGCATAAACCAGTTTGACCCAAATCAGTTAAGTCTGATACTACATTCAACCAGGTTTATCTCAAACCGGTTTCAGCCATTTTCAGACTGGTTTATGTGCACAGAACATCTGTTCTGTTACAGGTTTAAACCAGTTTCTGATCACTTAAATTAGTTTATGTGTAATGCCTGTCCCTAGCCCATAAGTTCTGTTGGAAGTCAGTGGGACTTAGGGTAGATCTACATGGCACAGGGCAGTGAAGTGTTGAGCTACCTCAGGTACCAGAAGCAGTACAGCCATGTTAACCTAGTGCACTGCCTGGTTTATCCTGTTGAGAAGGGGTAAATTAACAGGATAAATTAGCCCCATTGGAGTTCTGTGCTAGGTTTGGTATCTCTATAGTGAATTGCATTGCACTGTATAAACAAATCCTTAAACTCATAAGTGTTTCAGAGGCATTTGAAGTTCAAGGTAAAATTTCCAAATAACTCTGTAGCCAGATAACTATTTTGGAAAGCTGCATTATATGAGAACGAGTGTACACTGTACATTTCAAAACATAAAGCAGAGCATATGTAAAAATGAAAAAAAAATGGGAGTAACGGTTGTGTTGCATCACAAAAGTATGTCAAAGGCATACTCAAAACTTGCCCAGCATCATATCTAATTTCTGGGTCACATCAATCTTAGAATTTTTCTATCACAGATTAATCAACTGCGGCACAGTTGAAATTAATTGAAATTTCTGAGCTGTTTCTACTTAAGTATTTGCCTTTAGGAATAAAAGTTTGTTTTGCTTACTTCATGCATTTTGCCAATGTAATGCGTTTTATATGAATGTGCACAGTAATGTGTGGAAACACAAGAAGTTTACACACTGGTCCAGTTGGACCACATAAATTATTGTGAGGCTCACACTTAACCTGGCACCTAAGCATGGGATTCTCAATCTACTGAGGCCAGGTTGATGGGATAATAGGTTTACTAGTGATAAAACTTTAGAGCTACCTGATGCTACCATGCTGCTCCATGTTGCTCCATAAGCTCTGAGCATGTAACTTAAATTCCTGGAAAAATGTGTGGTTTAGTTTTGCCCATAATGCTCTTCTTTCCCCTATCCCTACAAAAGTCCAATCCTACCCATTTGGTGTGATAAATCAGTCTGAGATGCAAGAGTGGACTTAGTCTTGGACTTGATTGCTACGGCCTCAGTTACACTATATTTGCTTGACCCAGAATTGCAACGGCTTCCTTGCACTTTCTTGATTGTGCATCCTAAACTAAATTATGCACCTTATTCCCTCCTACCCATGAATACACTGGATAGGGGGAACAATCCTGAAGTTAAATATTGCAGTACAGGCAAACTGCCAACTTCCATTGTGAAGCTTTTTGATGGTATACACCATTATTTACCCTCTACACAAAACTGGATGTAAATGGACTCTCAACCTGAGGGAGATAAAATGCATCTACAAGCTTTTTCTCCCTCTCCTTTCATATGCCCCTTAAAGGCAGGGAAAATTGTTTGTATGGGAGTAATTTCCTTAATAAAGGAGACTAGTGTGAAATTGATCCATCATATTTCATCAGCTTTTCACAGTCTTACAATGATTGAAATATTTTTGTATTGCACTATGGGTGCAATGAAGTACTCCTTAAATAGACAAACTTCCTACTACAGTGAACTGCAGTGAGATTTGCAAAAATGATCAGCATTAGCCTAACTCTGCTCCTACTGAAGTCAATTAAAAAACTCCCCTTATCTTCATTGCTTTTAAATATTTCATCCACAGAGTTGAATTTTTAAACATAAATTTTAAGCTGAATCTTTAGGATATGAATAGGTAATCTACAGCTATTCCTTGTAGAGAGCCATAATGACCTATCAGTTTTCAAATAAAAAATTCTCCTTGAAATCAAGAAGGAGTTCTGTCTAAAATCAGATGGGATTATATAGCTCATGTTTATTTTCTTATTATCATCTGCTTTAACATTTGGTTTGCTATATAATTAGCATAAGCTTCCCTAGCTAAACCAAACTAAATTAATTCCTCTATTTACTTGGTGCAAAATATGCTCTTGTCTTTCAGCCTCAGATACAATCTTTGCTGGATCAGAATGATCAGTCTGATTATTTTTTAATTGTATAACCTGATCTATACTCAGTTTGGAAAAAAAGTCATATAAGTGCTTCTATATTGATTTTTCTTGTTAAATATAAATGTACTTTCACTGGATACCTTCCAAAAGTGTCATTTTAAGATTTGTAGTAACTTAAGAAACATCACTCTGTGCTTCAGATATATTGTATATAGAAGGTGCTAGAATAAAATAAGCAGAGCCTGGGATTTTCAAAGTAGCCTGAGGTAGTTATGTGAAGTAATCTCACTGAATTACAATGAGATCTGAGGCTGGGTTTTTCAGGAATCCCCAATGCCAGTTCAAGTGAAAAACAATGGGACTTACATGCCCTTCTCACTTAGGCTATGAACAGATGTAACTTTTAACTGATTTAAAATGGGCATGGGAGTTCATGCTCAGAAGCCCCATAAACTGTTACATCAGCATACTCCTGTACCACAGAAGTGAGCTAAGTCATTGCAAATTTAACCCCGAAGGAAGAAAGGGCTAAAGTTGCAATGGTTTTATTACATTGACATGGCTACAGGAACAGGCAGATTTAACAGCTACTTCATAACACTGGGCATATCTACATGTGCAGTTAATGCAACTGAGACAGGATAAACTAATCCTGATGTCACTGTCTAATAACGTGCATTTAAGTGCAGTGCTGCCAGATACCACTCGTATCTGATGGAATATCGTATCTGATATTCATCTGGCAGTGCAGTAAATTAGTCTGTTGCACCATAATTGTCACTGACATGTCGATGATGATGCTTTACTGTGCAACAAATTAGTCTGCTTTGCAGTAAAGCATCTGTGTAGACACCCCCACCTTGTAACAGGATAATTTGATACTGATACAATTGTTATCTCTCTTTATAGTTGTAGATGCTTGCAGCAATCCTAGCCTGATCACCTACCACAGAAAGACTCCTGTAAAAATCCCAGTGTATTTAATATTAGAAAATTTAAAAACTAAAGAGAAAAAAATGTTTTTTTTTTCTGGGTACAAAAAACCCCAACTCTCCTAAAATCCCTGAGATTATAATTCAAGTCTGGGGCTCTAGTTTCATGGGCTCACAGTTTGAAATAATTTGGGGAATAGACAATACTTTATTTTGTTACCATTGCTCTTTTAACACTGTGAAAAAGCATAAAACATGTATTTTTCATAAAGAGAAAAGGTCATTAAAAATCTAATACTTAGGAAACAAAAGCACAACAGCAAGGAAAGTTATTTTAGTCTTTTGGTCTATACTTATCAGAGGTGTTTTAAAGATACACACTAATAAACATTTTAAAAATTGGGAGAACATAAACACTTGAATGCTGGGAGGTCTAATCTCCTACTAGAGCATTTGGGATTCAGGAGAACTCCCAGGATGGACAATATGAATTATGTATGTATATTCTTCATTCATTGATGTCAGAGAAGACCTATGCATCTACTTGGGCTCCATAATGTCCAGTGCATGCTAACAGCTTTTTATCCCATGTACTAATGGAAATTAAATTGAGCTAGCTTTCATGCTCCAAAATCTTTCAGGGTGAGGGAGCAATCTATCAAAAAAAAAGTTCATATAGAACTGCTCTTAGCTCACAGTGCACAGGGATACCAGCAACAATTAATTATGAATTAATGTATGATCATTAAAAATGTAAAAAGTATGCAATTTCCTTATATTTTCTGTTTGGCTTTACTATAGCTGAGGCTACAAAATAAATAGTCAACATATTTTTCACCTTCTCACTGATAATTAATGATAAGGAACCATCCCTTCCAAAGGAAAGTTTACACGACTATACATTTGTCTGTGACCCCCATTTTACGGGCAGATCCACATCGGCAGACTCCTCTGATCATGCACTGGTGTGAATGTGTGTGCATGCACGAGCACACAAGTGTGCAAAAGAGCTTATGTGGTGCCTTTCTTTTGCAATTTAATCTGATTCTGACATACGTGATCTCTTGCACCTGTCCCCCAACAAATAAAAAAACATAAACCATCATGTACATCCCCCTCCTCCTCTTTCTCCTTGAAATTTTTCTTTCTATTCAAATTTAAAATGTAAACAATAAAGAAAAAATCACTTTGATCCTGTTTGAATGCACTCTTTTGATGCACCTTGGCCTCATCTACATGAGATTCTGACTGCACAGTTGTTACTTGTACCAACAAGCACTAAATGATTGCACAATAACCTGAGTTACTGCACAGTAGAACTGATGAGTGGCCTTTCTGTGATGCTACTGTGCAGTAATCCCAAGACTACTGAACAGTAGTGTCATGTCACGGGTTCTGCCACACAACGCTACTGCGCAGTAGTCTCAGGCTCTTGTGCAGTCAGCATCTCATGAGCATATAAAAATTACCTTTACTTTCTAGTTCCAAATGCAACTTATGTTTCTTTGGAACCATTAGTTCCTTATCAGCTTATGTTTATTTGGTAGGTTACTATCTTTTTACAAAGACTTGTGCTATTTTAGTGCAGGAAGTTCATTCTTTTGGCAGACAAAATGTGAGACTTTGAAACATGTTTTTGTACTTCTGCTGCCTGATATCAGCCATATGACATCCTTTGACATTAAGTTCACAATGCTCCTGTGTCTCACATGCCCATAACCTCCATGCCAAACAACCCAATAAAATATTGCAATTGCTTTTGTTATTATCATTTTCATGCAACAGGCAGAGACAATCGCTATTAAGTCTAAGGCAATAAATCTAGTTACAGATATATAAATAAAAAAAAATAAATCAGAGGAAAGATGCAGTGACAAGAAAGCAGCACCAACTGAGCATGCTCCTACTGAGGCACAGACAGAAAGGAAGTGGACGTACTGTAGAAGCTGGCCATTACGTAGTTTTGGCAGCGATCACCAGTAAATTCATTTGGGCACCTGAGAGGAAAAACAAAACAATGGTAGAGAAAAACAGAGAAAAGAGAAGAGGTGAACATATGCTAAGAAAGAAGCTCCTTCAGCGTGAACTGATTTGACTTGGTGAGTTCACCTTCAGAAACTGAATCTCAGTTTAGCATATCCAAATGGCTCAAGATGTTTGAGAGCCGCCCATTTGCTTTGTGGAAGCCAAAACCAATCCAAATCAAAGTGTGTTTCAGCATGTGATAGAGGAGTCTGCCATTTCAAATCCCCAAATGACTTTTATAATGTGCTTTTCTCAAGGCGGCTAGAAGATGGAATCTGTACATCATTCATTTCAGTTGGCTTATTCCTACACAGTAACACTTTACAGCATTTCCCCAATCAAGAAAGCTGATAATGTAAAACAAAATCTGTGATGGATGAGAAGATTCTGCTTTAAAAAGCCACACAAATGAGACATGTTCTGATGCCAGAGAATGCCATGGTGTACAGATTAAAGCTTAGTGAGTCAAGCCATAATCAGAATCAAGAAAGGCCAGTTCCAGCTGAACTGTGAAAACACCAAGTAGCAGTGATTTTGTTGCTGTAGTTGGGGGAGAAAGCAAAGTTCAGATTATTTTAACATACTTTCTTGGTTTTGGATTTTCATGGGCAGAGTTTCAGTACATCTTGCTCCGGTGAATCCCGGTTGGCACCTGAAGGGCAAAAACTTGATAAGCAATCGAACATCAAAACCACTGAACTAGCAGACTGATATTTGCCTTCCTATGGAACATGGAGATCCTCTAAACGACCTCAGGAGAGGGCTGGAATTAGTGAAAAAATGTAATAGAAGAAAAAATGTATGCTTTGAAAAAAATATATTTTTATAATATTGAAAAAAATTGAAAAAATCCATGATTATTTTTAAATAAGAGAGTCAAATCTAATAGAAATGCACTGGCAGCCCCCTTTCAGCTTATTTCTTTTTTCGTTATCAGGTTGCCACATCAAGTTATTTCTGCTTGCAATATTGCATTTAAAAATAATTTATGTTCCCTGCCTTGAGCAATCATGTACAGTGCCAAACCTATGGCTCTTCTCTGACTCTCTTCTTTCTTTAATGGTGTGCTTTACCTTCAAGTTCCTGCTTAAATAAGAACAAAAAAACCAACTACCCCATCCACTCACCAAACCAAACAGCCCCCCAAACAGCCTTCATTTTGTTCAAGACAAGGCAGCAGTCATGGGTATAATGCATCGGAGAGAAAACCGGTAGGCCAGACACACAAGGAGCATAGGTAAAAATAGGGTGAAAGTGCTCTTGAATTCATACTGAGTAAGAAAATTAGCAGTATTCATCTCTTCAGTCACTTTGTCCATAATATGTGGACTCTGCAATCCAGAAAGGATGTGGAAAAGCTTGAGAGAGTCCAGAGGAGAGCCACACAAATGATTAGAGGTCAAGAGAGCAGGCCTTATGAGGAGAGGCTGAGAGGCCTGGGGCTCTTCAGCCTGGAGAAGCAATGGCTTAGGGGGGACTTGGTGGCTGCCTACAAGTATATAAGGAGTGTGCACTGGGAACTGGGAGAATGACTGTTGACCAGAGCACCCCATGGGAAGACAAACCTCTTGGAAGGCCATTTTAGGTTGGACATAAGGAAAAACTTCTTTACTGTCCGAGTCCCAAGGGCCTGGAATAAATTCCCGCCAGAGATGGTGCAGGCACCTACTTTGGATTCCTTTAAAAAACACTTGGATGCTTATCTTGCTGGGATTATTTGACCCTTGCAGACTGCCTGCCCTTTGGGCAGAGGGCTGAACCCGATGATCTTGCAAGGTCCCTTCCAGCCCTAATGTCTATGCAATCTATGAAATCTATTTCTTCCTTGGAAAAAAAATCACTATAGATTTCACTTTGGTTGTAATGAAGAAATGGCTTTTCTTGATGTCTGGGATCCTTTTACGTTGATGCTACTTGCTCCTTCTCTTGATTCCCTTAGACTTCAGTTAGGCACTTGGCAATAGATGGATATTCCTTCTTCTGGAAATGCTCCACAGCTATTCAGGCTTCTTTGGTTTCTTATGACATGATTTTACTTATTTTTCTGCCCTAGACATCTTCTGTGCAGTCTTACAGAGTTCAGTTCTTGTTTGTTGATTTGTGTTACCTACTTAGCCACTCTTCTCATTCAGTGCCCAGTTAATTTAACTATCTTTAACCTTAACTCTAAATCAAGTTATTTTTACCTATTTAAATTAATGTTTATTAATGTCTATTAACTTTCCTTTGGTTTGATTCTAAAACACTTCATAAGGCTGCTCCAACTGGTTTCTCAGATTCAGCCTCTGCCACCACAGCTTAGTTAACTGTTGGCCTCCCATTTGTATCTTCCTCAAATCTATCTACTCTTCTCAACTGCAGCAGCAGGCAGCTGGAATAGTCCTCCTTTAACTCATCAGGGTTTAACTCCATTGAAAACTTACTTGTTTCTTGCTTAGCTTTTTAAAGTTTTCTTCTACAGTTATCTCTAAGATTGATTAACAATGCAGTGGACTAACACACTCATGGCATTTTTTTTTACAGTATGTCTGTATACTTTTTTGGAATTTTGTACATAACACACTGTGCCAGAAAAGCAGTGTTAAATTGTCCAAGTATGTCATACCGAATTTTATTTTCAATGGATGGTGTATTTTGAGGCTTTCAACAGGTCTTTTCCAAGATGATGCATTGTAGTGACCAGTCTGTTGATTAAAAGAACTGATTTTAAGCTGTCCCCAGAAGCAATGTACCCAGTAGGGCTGTGCGAAGGTTCGGGTGCCGATTTGATTTGGAAGAGATTTGGCCCGATTCGGCGGCCAAATCTCTGAATCCAAATCAAACCAGGAGACCAATAAAAATGTATGAATTGATTCAAAGCTCTCCGAATCAATTCAAAAAAGATTCAGAGAGCTTCAGAGATTTGGGCAGTCCCTACTCGCTGCCACAGAGAGCTGGACCCAGACTCTGTGGTGGTAAGTAGAGGGCAGGGGTGGGATGTGGTGGCGGTGGCGAGGAAAGGGACCATGGGGGACCCCTGCCAGGCCCCACCCCCTGCCTGCTCCCCTCTGAGCACCCCCCAACACCCGCAAGCTCTCTCGCCCTGCCCCCCCACATGGTTGCTCCACCTGCCCCAGCTCCCGGCTCTTAAAAAAAAAGAAAAAAAGCCCCGTACTCACCGGATGCTGCAGCAGCTATTGGAGCTTCTGGGGGCTCATGGGGGCTCATGGTAGAGCCCCCCATGCAGTGTGGGGCAGTGAAGATTGCACCCTGCCCACCGCCTGGCAGAAGACAGTGAGTGAAGGGCCTTTTTTCTTTTTTTTTTTTTAAAAGAGCTGGGAGCTGGGCCTGGGCAGGGCAGCCATTGATGGGGCTGGGAGAGTGGACAGGGGATGGGGGCTCATGGCAGAGCCCCCAATGCAGCATGGGGTAGTGGGAGGTAGTGGGGATAGCCCCCCCGCCTGGCAGCAGCCAGTGACTGGGGGCTTTGGGAGGCTGGGGCTGGGGAGGGCAGCCATTGATGGGGCCGGGAGAGCAGGCGGGGGATGGGGCCTGTTTGATTTGGAGATCTGGCCAATTCGGCGGCGGCTGAATCTGTGAATCAGATTCGGCCAAATTGATTTGGGACAGTGATTTGAATCACTGAATCGAATCACTGTCCCCTGAATCCATGAACGACCCATGCCCCCGGTGGCTGTGGGGGGCACGGCAGCGGCAGGAGCATGGCAGTGGTGGTGGGAGCTTGGTGGCGGTGAGTGGCAAGTTCCTGCAGACGCTGCTGGTGCTGTCAGCAGCGGGGCGCTGACCATGGGGCGGTGACCACACACAGATGCCGCCAGCAGCATTTGGGGCGGTCAGTGGGGATGGCTGACCACCTGCAGATGCCACCGGTAGGGGGGTTTTGTAGGGGGTGCACCACCATGCTCAGGGGGTGCACGTGCACCCGCATGCACCCCCTATGTGTCGCCCCTGCTTAAATCGGCCGAATCGAAATCCAAAGTGGAAACTAGCTGCTTTGCACAGGCCTAGTACTCAGCACATAAGCACTCTGGTTTCAGTAGGGATGCTTTTGTACTGTCATAAATAAATTAATCAAAGGAGATTCTACTAAGGATAAAGGTCTCAGAAAACGGTTATGCCACTGGTTAGAACGTGGTATTTGCATTTAGCTTAGCTACTGGGTGAGGGAGAGGGGCAGCAACAAAACGTTTTAATCTGTAAATTCAGTTCTTATCTTACATCAGGTTGATGTTATTACATGCATACTCTACCAAGTGCTGCATAATGCTCATGTCTACCCTGAGATGGGACACATGGGGCCAAATATCAAAATCCATATTCAGGTAACTCTGAATGAATACAATCAGTGTTTCTGCTGCCTATGTATTTCACGGTTTGGCCTGTGGTGTTTGCTCACTTGAGCCATTTATAGAAGTTACGTTTTTTTAGGCTGAATCCAGACTACAGCCATCACTAGATATACATGGAGGTCTGTAATCTGAATTAAAGTTAGTGCAGACTAGGGCAGTCTGAATAGGCAATTTAAACTGTATTAATTAACATGTATACACTGCATTGCTTTTAGGAAAAACAGTCCTTAGGAACTCAGATAATCAGATAAGCATTGCAAATATCATGCTTCCTCAGCCTGACGAATTTGTACCTGAAAGTTTGCAAAAAAGATTTTTTCCAACTATTTGAGTTGGTCTAATACAAAATATTGGATTTACCCGAAGAACCTTGACTGCCTAATCCCAGTGACTGGAACTCAATTGGGTTTTTGTAACACAACAGAGTCCATCAGGCACAAAGTAACACCTTTACAAAGTCAAATGTGCCAACAACACCTCACCCTAAGTATCAAGTCAATTACCCCTTCTGGAACAGCACTTCAGATAACTGTAACAATGTAGCAGCACTTAAATAGGCTTATTATCACCTCCTAATTAGTTCCAACCTCTGTTATGGGTCTGTCAAATATATAGACTGCCTA